ACACCTCCTTCCTCCCAGTATGTTTGTGGCTCATCTTAGACACATAGATGGGAGTTGCCTGAAGTACCATTGTTTTGCTTCTTTTCTCAGCAGCAGAAGGAGTTAGGCAGGTAGAGAGCTCCAGACTAAAACATTGTCAAAGGAATCCTAAATGCCAGTAATTATAAGAAATGGAAACCGTGTCTTCTAAATAATAACTACCCACACTGGAAAGTTTAGGAAAGCCCTACAGCTGGTCGCATGCTCCTGGCTGGCCACTAGAGGGCATAGGAGGCATTTCCAAACCTGTAAAGAGCTGCGCCAAGCACCCAGCTCTACTGAAGATACAGAGGGCGCGTGGCCCCATCCTGAACTTTTAAAATGCCTTTAACTATTGTGTGTAAGATGAATTTTTAAAATTTTCATCACGCCGTGTCATTGAAGCCAAGGGACATTTGTCATGGAATGAGTAGATGCTGACATTTTTCTTGTTTTGCAAATACAGGGCCTGTGCTGGAGAGCGAGGCCTTGTGGTCCAGGATCATCACACTGCCTGGATTCCAGCCCAGCTCTCAGCCTGTGTGTCCCAATCTGGTCAGGCTGCTAGAACAAAAATAATAATACCTAGATGGCCTTTTGTTGTTTGCTTGTTTGGACTGGCCAGCTTAAACTTCTATTAAACATTTATTTCTTCCTCATGTGAAAACTAGGGAATCTCAGATTAAGGGATAAGTTGCTTCGGTCCCTGGGGAGACCCTTGTCCTGGCTCCTCTCGGGAGGAGCACCTCCTCATGGGGAGAGAGCCCATCTTCTGTGGGTGCTCACTGTATTGGATCACCTCCTCTCCACTTACCACTTCATTTAACCTTAATATCGCCGTGAAGTCCCATTCTGCAGTTGCAGTCTCATTGGGGGTTCAAAATGTGAATTAGACAGGGTCACCGATGTTTGGCTCAGATTGTCATTCTACTTTGACATGTAGTCCTGATTTGTTCATGTCTGAAACAGATTTCTGATGCCATTCATCATGGAGTTCAAAGGATTTGGTATCTTAGCCCCAGAAGGCACCCCTTATGTATATTAAGTTAGCATCATCCCTGTTTTGTGCTTTGAGCTGCCCATGGGCTCACCATTTGTAGTCAAACTCAAGCACTTGTCTTGACCGTGCTCTTTCCCAGCGTGACATATCCTTTTAACCAAGGTCTTGCTGAACTGAATGTTAGATATAATGTGTTCTTTTCCTACCTACCCTCCATTTGCAATGCAAATGCAAAAAATGTACTAAATATCTTTTTATCTCCAGCACTTACTATCTTTTCAGTGCAAGAATGTTTCTGTTTTGACATCACAGTATGCCTTCATGTTGTACCATGTTCATTGTTTCTTTAATATGCTCTAAAAACTATCAGTTTCTTTTAATAATAAACAAAATATCTAATTTTAAAACTTAGTTACAAGCTGGGCACCAGTGATCCTAGCTACTCAGAAGGCTGAAATCCGAGGATCATGGTTCAAAGCCAGCCCGGGCAGGAAAGTCTATGAGACTCTCCAAGAAACCACCAGAAAACTGGAAGTGGTGCTGTGGCTCAAGTGGTAGAG